GGATGTACACATATGTTCAGAGTAAATATACAAATATAATCCAACAAAAGAGAAATACATAGAGAGGAAGAGAAATGAACCAAACATATCACGGGTTGTAAGTGCCGATTGATGAGAAATCCACCACTGAATCATCCATATGCAAGATCCTATGTTGTTTTCTAAGCTAATCTGCCAAAGAATGTTTGGTGATGGAGTGGGAGTAAAATACACAACCATCCCCTAAAAATGTGTTTTTTGACCTAAACATGAGTTTCTGCCCAGTCTGCACTGCCCGACGCTCAAAACAATATTTTTAGTGCATTTTCACACTTCTGGACTGCATCTGCACCACCCGGCGAGCTCAGCGAGCTGTTGAAAAAATTGGAAAACTTCAGCACTTCTTTAGCCATAACTTGAGAGTCGTAACTCCGATTTGGGCACAGTCAGAAGCGTTGGAAAACTTATTCAATGATCTATCTAACAATGACTAAATATCAATGGTTGAATACCTAAAAATGAGATAAAAACAATTAATCTCAATGATATTTACACGATAATGCAATATATACAGTATAACATAAACTATACTGAATATATAATAAAGTGAAGTTTATTGGCGAAATGAAAATAGATTAAGCCGATGATTGCTAATTATTAACACTCAAATTCATAATAATTTAGAACTCATCAAATTGTCCCCAACTTAAAACATTATTTGTCCTCAAACACAGTCAAACAACCTAAAAAAACAAAAAGACTATAATCCAAGAATCACGAATCAACAGGTTTTGAAAACGGAAAACAAATGTATGATTCAAATAAAAACACACAAACAAAGTAAATAATTACCACAATCCTACAACGACAACATGAAAACGAAACAAACCCTAAGTACAAAAATCATGCCAAACAATCTAAAACAACAAAAGTTCAATCATGAATCAATCCTAGCAAAAATTCATCGAGGGATGAAAAATACACAAAGGTGAGGATTTGACACTCATCCAACAATCTTGCAAATAAAAGACTAAATTATGCATTCACCAAAAATTTTACATTGAACATACAAAGGCAAGAATCACAAGAACTTTTTAAGGTTGTAATGTGGTTTGATTAACAAATAAGGTTTAATTCTTAAAGTTAATTGAAACAAAAACTTGCTAAATCTAAGGGAGTGATCAACTCATAAAAGTTCAAACATAAAATTTCAATCAAACTTCTTCTTTCATCTCAAGTGTTACACCAAACATACCTTACTTATTAGCACAACTATTTGATACTCTTTTTATTTTTGTTTTTCAAAACTTTTATTTTTCTTTTCTTTCTTTTTCACTTTTTTCTTTCTTTTTCTTTTCTTTTTTTACAACTGCATAGCAACCAACAACATAAGTGAGCAAACATTGTTCTCTACAACTTGAATTCAACCAACATCAATGGTGAATACTCCATACTTTCTAAGGCAATGAAAAAATTCAAACCATAAATCATGGTTGAGGATTCAAGAAAACAAAGAATCAACATCCATCCAAAAAGGTGAACTAAACACTCATAGACAAGCATCAAGTTAAAAAAAAACTTGAACATTGAAAAAAAGACTCAAAATGGGTTAATAAAAATTCACACACTCATAAGGTGAATTGTCTATTTGGTTAGGTAGTTGTGCTCAAAATCAAACAAAATATCTTGATTATTTTCATGCTTTCATACAATCAACACAAAAAAAAGATTAAACATAATGAAATCCAGTTAAAATGAATTATGGCCTCCAACATATATGAATAATGGAAAGCTTCCTCATATTTTGGGGGTAAAAAGGGAACTAAAGTGATTCAATCAAAAATCAAGTAATATAAAAGAATGAATGTCATGGAATTTGTACGAATGAAAAGTTTTCTAAACAGCTTATACTATAGAAAGCGATAAACGAGTACCTGACATGTACTAACTTAAAAACAATATCATTACCATATATTCGCAAGTTGAAACACTCAAACTTGGAAAATCATAAAATGCACTTCAAGCTATTGAACCAAAATTTGAGTCCAAACAATCAACAAAATAATTAAAACAACTAAATAATCGGGTGAAATTAAATTAAACAAGTTGAAAAATGAGGATTTGAGAATTTTAAGAATTGGTCCAATTTCAACTTTTTTAAACGAAAATCACCACTACCTAAACTAATATTATAAAAAACAATAAAACATGCTTGTTTTACGTCGTAAGCTCGACGTCTGTTATTTATACACACTTCTCCAAGTTGCCTCTTTACACTGTTAGCGTTCACCGACAGTGAAACCTAACCAAACACTTTAACAAACGTGAAGAGAAACGAAAATATATAAATAAATGTACAAGTATTCATACACAAGTTCATGTATAAATTCTATATGACATATACATTAGTTACAAAACACAAAAACAAGGAAACTATCGCGACGCGATCCAATCCAATAAAAACACCAATCCTCGACAACGGCGCCATTTTGTTGAAGCGATAAAGCGGCAATAAAAAATTTTGGAAATATTCTTCCGGAAAAATTTATCGTCTCCACAGAAATTAGTGCATACTGAATTACCGTTCGACATGTCTCGCGTTAATGAGTTTAGTTTAAATGGGTTGAAGGTATAAAAGGTAAAAAGTATCAACAAAAAATAAACACATTCTTTAGAGAAGAAAACTTATCAAACATGAATTTACACTACTCAAAACAAACTTAAACATATCAATCAGTCGCACTCAACCTACAATACTCGTCAAAATCATCGATTATCTCTCGAAATATTCCACAACAGAGGTTATGTCTAACACAAAGTTGGAGACAACCATATTACTCGCGTTGACAATCTCTCAACACAAGACAAATAATACAGAGGCATTAAGCTTTGATACCTATAGTGATTATTAGCTTTAAATCTATCTCTGGAATCTAGAAACTAATAGATATTCATCCCTAATTAAGATTTGTGATGTATATGTCTATAATAACTCAAATCTAAACATAAAGCAAAATGATTAAGGAAGACATCAACAATGATTTGTAAAGAAAATTTTATACAACACCATGATCAATACATATACATATGTTCAGAGTAAATATACAAACATAACCCAACAAAAGAGAAATACATAGAGATAAAGATAAATGAGTCAAACATCTCGCGGGTTATCAGCGCTGGTTGTTGAGAAATCCACCCTCGAATCATCCATATGCAAGACCCTATGTTGTTTTCTAATATAATCTACCAAAGAATGTTTGGTGATGGAGTGGGAACAAAAAATACTCAACTATCCCCTAAAAATGTGTTTTTGACCTAAATATGAGTTTCTGTCCAGTCTGCACTGCCCGACGCTCAAAACAACATTTTTAGTGCATTTTCAAGCTTCTGGAGTGCTTCAGCACCGCCTGGCGAGCTCGGGGTGCTGCTGAAATTTTTTTGAAAACTTCAGCCATAACTTGAGAACCGTAACTCCGATTTACGCACGGTCGGAAGCGTTGGAAAACTTATTCAATTCTCTATCTAACAATGACTAAATAACAATACTTGAATACCTACAAAAATAGGATAAAAACAATTAAACTCAATCATATTTACACGATAACAGAATATATACACTATAACGTAAACTATACCGAATATACGCTAAAATTGAGGTTTACTGACGAAAAACAAACGAACTAAGCCGATGAGTGCTAATTATTCACACTCGAATTCACAACAATTTAACACTCATTAAAACTTTTTTTTCTCTTATTTCATATATATTTTAATATATATATCTTAACCGTAACTATATGATATTTATTTAATATTTATATCGACTTTACGCGATCCATGCGAACGCAAAGATCCTTTACTAATTTATATAATATATAATAGAGAGCTATTTGTCATATATTTTATGATTGTCCTATAAACTTGATGAGTTACGTTTGTAACCTTTATTTTAAAATGGAATAATTAAATGCTAAGCATGAAAACAAAGTTAATCTATACAAATACAAAAGTCTAGTGGGACAAGTGCCCCCATCATCCCATATGTGCATCCGCCTGTGCGCCCTCTAAAGAACTCTTTGGGAAATACTAACAGCCGTTTCATAGTTGGTGTTCAAACACGTGTTTAGCAATCTGTTTTTCTTAAGCAAATTGTATGACCGGCATATTAATGTAGCCTATAGTTATTAGTTTACACATAAACCACCGATGTTTTTCCTTATATGATGGCATCACTGCAACTAACTTGTATATAAATTTTTTGTTGATTTGTCTTTGGCTCTTTGCATTATTTAGGATTTCTACCGAAGCATGTTATTAATTGAGCCTTTGTTTTATTTGTTATAGAGCTTGGTCTATTGGTTCCAAGGTGACTTACTAGAAGAAAGATTGAAGAAAGCTTTTTAGGTTTGTAAGGATGGATTTGTAATCGTATTGTTACATTGTTGCCCAGAAAGTGGGTATACTTGCTGTAATTCTTTCAGGCTTAGAAAATGATTTGTTCTGTTGAATAAAAAATAGTAGTCTTAATTCATATATTTATAGAGTACGATACCTTTTGCAAATCTGCATTTGCCACTTATACTGCCTACAAAGGTGTGTGCCTATTTAAACTGATTTCTCCAATTTTTAGAAGTTCTTAAAGAAATCACAAATAATCATAATCTTGTACGAATGGTAATATCTTGCAAAGGGAGGAAAGCTGCTTAAGCGCTGTATCAAATATAGTGTTCTAGTTGGTTGAGTGATTGTTTCATTTGGCGGGAGTAGCAGTTTGACTAAAGGAACGATTTTTAAGGAACAGTTTGACAAATAATGATTTTTAAGAAACTATTTATGTAATCTTTTTTTTGTTAAGGGATCAAACATTAAATTAAGCCACCTGACTTTGTATTTAATTATGCCTAAAAATAACATGTTTAGAATATCCTATAAAAAGTTGGGAAAGTTTTTGCTAACAAGTTTTATAGATTAAAAGCAAACAAGCATTAATTCTACTAACAACTTATAAATTAAAAGCATTAAGTCCATTCCTCTACAATGATTTCACATCCATTCTTAACTTCCAAATTGGGTAGCATTGTGCGTATTTTCGGGGAGGGTCTCCTTATATATACTTTTGTTAAGGTAGTAAAAAGTTCACTTGGGAGGCTATCCAACTCAAGGCATTTACGAATATCAAGGATGTGAAGGTGTGGCATCGAACCATTAGCTAATTTCCAGTTTCGGATAGCTAAGTTTTTCATATGAAACTCTTGCAGTTGTGGGAACCCATCTTCAATACAATTAAGATCAAAAATTGAACACGTATAGTAGTCTCCAGTTAATATCAAACTTTGGAGTTTGGTGAGATTTCCAATAGCATTCATCCCATCTTCATTCGCACGAGTACTATTTATCAATGTTAACTTGGTAATGTTGGGAGGAAACATGGTCACACATGTTAGAAGCTCACATGCATTGATAATTTTCAGTATACTCAGATGGCTCAAGTGCTTCAAACTTTCTAAAATTTCCTCGGGCTTATAATTGAAATCCCATCGCGGATCTGTATTATCATGCACGTAGAATAGGATTTCTAGCTTATTCAAATGTTTCAACTTTTGTAGGCTCAGCAACATTTTGGGCACATCACCCTTGAATTTTGAGGAGATATGCAATCCTAATTTTCTTAGTTTGGGGAAACATCCTTTCTCTATCAGATATGTTGTTTTTTGATCAAGCACGATGCAAGAGAGTGTTTGAAGATTCCACATAACATTACCATTTGATTCTAAATAACGACCACGTAGCATGATAGGTCCAAAAGTATACACATGCCTTAGATGCTTGAGCTTTGATATTCCACAGGGGAAAGAAATTGTGTAGTTCCTGGTTGAAGGTCCCAAGTCTAATGTTTGTAGATTCTGAAGGTTACATATAGAATCTGGAACACTTCTAAAATTATGTGAATCTATTCTTAAGTACCGCAAGTGAATGAAGTTCCCTAAATTTGCAGGAATCTTATAAGAATTAAAATAATCATACCAACGTGGGGATGCTTCAAGATCTAACACCCGGACCAATTTGAAGCTTTTGGTAAGCCATTTCCATTCGTCATGAGAAACGAAATAATTTGGGCCAGACCAAAACAAAGACCGAACACATGAATGATCATTAGTGTTTGAAGAAACATAGTTAGATATGCTAGAATGGACAGACAATCTACGAGGTTTTGTAGAGATTAAAATGTTGTTATCAGTGCAAACCTGAAAGGAGTTATCTTCTTTGCTCTCTAATATGCACATATCTCTGAGAAGATCATGGATGCGGCATGTTTTCACGCCTCCACTACCTTTCACCCGTGCTACTTGGATCAAACTGCGATCAATGAGCTCATACAAGTAGTCATCAGCAACATCACATGCATCTCGACTTCCTGTTTCTTGTATAAATCCTTCAGTCATCCATAGTTGCAACAATTTTCTTACACGTATTTCAGAATCTTCAGGGAATATCCCTAAATACAGAAAACATGGTTTCAGTCTTGCTGGCAAGTTATCGAAACTGAGTTTAAGTACTATATCCTTTACTTGAGTCTCGTCTCGGGTAAGATACCAATTAACATGACCCAACACTTTGGACCATTCTCTGTGCGACTTTTCCTTATTTGCCAGAAGTCCTCCGAGAACCACAATTGAGAGTGGCAAACCGCCACAACTTTTAACAATTTGTTTACCTAGAGACTCAAGATCACTAGGGTGTTGTTCTCCTCTAAAGACTTTTTTGGAAAATAGCTCCCAACTTTGTTCTTCACTGAGAAATTGAAGATAGTAAGGAGGATCTCGACCGGTATGCGAGGCAACTTCTTTCAAACGACTGGTTATCAGTATTCTGCTTCCTTCATTTTCATTCGGAAAAGCATCTTTTACCTCATCCCAATCTTGTATTTTCCACAAGTCATCTAGAACCAGCAGATACTTCTCCCCCTCCAAGCATTCCCGTACTCTTTTCTTCAGCTCATCATCACTTAAGCTAGAGATGTCTTGATTCACAGCTTCCTTTTGTTTCTTCTTATCCTTTTTGGTGGTGCTGCTTCTACGTTCATAATAATTTTTTGACATCAATTTTTGAAGAAGATCAACCAAAAGCTCTCTGGCCCTACATTCGCTTGACGCATAAGCCCATGCGCGACAATTGAAGTGTTTCTTTACCTCATCACTGTTGTAGACTTTTCGTGCCAGGGTGGTTTTGCCCAATCCACCCATACCAATGATTGAAAAAACTTTGAGTGGCGGTGAACCAGCCTCTCTGAGGCTATTGATGACTACCTCGGATTCATGGACAAAGCCCACAACATTTTCCTCCTCCACGTCTCTTCTTAATATGTGGACTGATTGCCTTCTCTCCTCCTCTTGTCTTGCTGATGTTGATTGATCAATGCTTTCTTGACAGTATTTGATCTTGTTTTCGTGTATCTCGTTGAGCGTTGTTTTGATCTTGTCAATTTCCTCTGCTGCGTGGTGTAGCAACTTAGCGTGCTTAAAGCTGTGAAACATTCTTCCCAGCACATTCCTGTTCTTGTAGAAGGCGACATTGGTGATGAATGTGTCGATAACATCCTTGGCTAAGTAGGAAACATTTCTGATCTGACTCAGATAAGTCTGATTGTTGTTGTTGTTGATCCCTTCAGAAGAATTTTTTAGATAATCGTTTATCATTTGGAGTTCATAAACGAGGGATTCGATTTTTCCTTTCAATCCACCCAGCAAATTGACTTCGTTTTGCAGCAATTGGGATAAGTGTCCCAAAAGGAACGTAACCACGCTATCTGCCATGTATATAGTATAGTGTGTAAAGGGAAACTTCTGGTTTTGGGTGATTGTTACAATTATTGTTATCAAAATATCAAGGAAGAGGGAGTTGTTATATAATAGATTGTATGAGAGTTTTTCACGCGGTTGTAATAAATGTATGGAACATGGACGTAGTGTGAAATCAAGAAATAGAGGTAAACTGCACCTCAAACCTCAATAATTTATAAAGACTTGGGTTGGGTAGACTTACACTTGCGCTGTTTTCTGCTTACTATGAAACAACTATAAAGTTGAATTGTTTCTCAGGGAAGTTTCCTTTGTCTTTATCATTGAAATTTCCATTATTTTCGAATGCATGGACCCATTCAAACTCAAAAGATTGTCCCAGAAAGCATATCTTTCACGTTGTGATTATAACGATAACTAGAGATCCACTCCCACGATGTGTGGACAGTTTTATTAAATTATTAGTTAAATTATTATTATTATTATTATTATTATTATTATTATTATTATTATTATTATTATTATTATTATTATTATTATTATTATTATTATTATTATTATTATTATTATTATTATTATTATTATTATTATTATTATTATTATTATTATTATTATTATTATTATTATTATTATTATTATTATTATTATTATTATTATAATATGTATTGTAGTTTAAATCAATAATTTAAATTATAATAATAAAAATTAATATTAATTTAATAGTTTATATGCCTTAAATAATATAATATACATTTTCAATCAAATAAAAAAATATGGCATCATAAAGGTTCCTAAGTAATGAGCAATGCGTTGTTGAAGTTGGCTCCATGGAATTTATCTTTTGCTTCGAGTCAGAATTTTTACCATGAGTAAACTTGGATTGTAGGTCAAATTACTTAAAGTTTAGTTGCTAAACATGTTTAACTAATTGTCCATATGCGTTTTGATAAGAATTGCACTTGGTATGAGGTCACTTTGATGCATTTCAAGTCACACGTTTGGCATCAAATCTCTGCCAAAATCTCTCCATAGCTCACACTTCTGAGTTTTTGATTTCTCATTTCCTTCACTCCCAACTCTTATTTCTTGATTGATTATTCATCCTTGAACTTTACTGAAGCTAATAGAAAAAGAACCAAGCCTTGAAGTGCTCTAAATCGTGCTAGCCAAGTCAAGTTTCAGAGTAAAATTCCTAGACTTCGTTCAAGTAGTTTAAGGCATCAAATCTTCTAACTCAAATTACTGAAATAGTCTATGATGTTCATTGATGCTTGATATTAATTTTGATTAATTGATGCATTTGATGCATTTGTTTTCGAATTCAAATTTCTCAAACTGCTATGGTTTTTTCCAAATCGACTAAGCTGTGATTTAAGGAAATATTTCGCAAGCATATGGTTGTGATCGTATTGAAGAGACGCATCTAATGGTACCACTGTGAACGTGTAAATTTTCAATTTAAAGGATTCCATACTTGCCCTATGTAATACGGTGGGAGAACTGACTTGGGTGTTTTGCGTTTTATCGCAATTGTTGCAGATAGCAAGATTTGCCACTGACTTTTCTTTTATCCAATAAAGGAAAGGGTGAAAAGAACATGAAAGACCTTTTGAGAATTTTCTTGAGTTCGGAAGGTAGGTTATGAAAAGGAAAGGTGTTAGCACCCTTTTCATCTGTAGTTATCTACGGGCTCTTAGTTTCTTGCTCATTTTGAAATGCTTTGTAAATGTGCTTGTGATTTGTTTGAAAGTTTTTTGAAAAGTCCCCTTGTTTAGGCAAACTTTGTAATGATTCTCGTCTCTATAAGAATGTATTCAAAGTGTTGACTTTTGAAAATATTTCATCAAAGTGTTGGTGTGTTTGAAAGATGTTTGAAATGTTTATGAGCAAGCAATTACGAGCGTTCTACCTACTCAAAAGAAAGTCTTCGTTCTTTTCCTCGTCCTTTGGATAATGCTTTTCTACTATTAGTTAGTAGGAAGCCATATCATTGGATGTGAAGGGACGGACGCGAGTCGTCGTGCAATCATAGAAGACAATATTGTAGGATACATTAGCAATTTATTGTAAGGGACTAAGATCGTTCAGCGACGGCAATATTGAAGGGTTATCGAGAGATTATGATATTTTAATCGAGGATCTTTGCTAAAGTATCCCACGTTCGAGGGACATGACTATTTTAATCTAAGACAACAAGTGTGAGTTAACCCTAGAGGTGTATGTGTGCAAAGTGTATTGTTTTTATGCATTTGTCTTGAATTAGGATTATCTAGTTGTTTGATTTTTAGTCTTGTCATACAAATCCTAGTTACTAGCAATAATATGGAAAGTGATAAATTGCGGAAAAAAAAAGTCTTACGCTATTACAATACTTTAGGAGATAGGGGTACAAATTACAAATGAGGATGACAAGTAAAGTAAATCCTAATTACTATTACAATGCTTTAACAATTATATAATAATATAAAATAATAAAACGTACAAAAATGTAAAGATAAGAGAAATTGAAAAGAACATTGTTTTATGGTTTTTTGTATGAAAAAGAGTTTTAATTAATCTAATTAATTGGAAAAGAAGTTAATTAATTAAATTCATAAAATTTAAGTTAATTTAATTAAAAGAGAAAACTAAAATAAAAACCTAGGTCTAAATTAGTTTTAATTAAGAAAAGAAATTAATAGTTAAGAAAATATTTTTATTATTTTGTTACCTATAAGATAAAAATGAAATAAGGTTGGAAAATATAATTATTTAAGAAAAATGTATTTTTGCGATTTTGATTCAAAACAAATAATAAAAGAAAAGAAAGAAAATAAAAAGAAAATAAAGTAAAATAAAAATATAATTAAATATGAAGTCAGGGGGTTTGAAAAGAAAATGGGTAGTTAGAAAGAAGAAATGTCTTTTTGTTTAAGCCCAAGGCCTATTTGTGAAATCAGAAAATAAAATAAAATAAAATAAAGATGTAATGGGCTGACATGTTTTAGTAAGAGAGGGGTGAGAGAGAGTAAAATGAAGCAAGCCCGGGAAGGGAAGCCCAGACACGTGTCAAAAAAAAAAGGAAACAAGGAAAATGTGAAAAATAACAAAAGGTGTCGTTGTGGCTCGAACACAAGACCCTTAACACCAATGCCTTACGTGTGCGCCTTCTGCCACTAGGGTGGCTGTTTCATTCGTTATTGAAACAACTTGCAATAAATTTAAAATAAACTAAGTTCTAAAGGCAACTTCATCTTCTTCCTCGCGCCAACCTTCTGAGTCAGATTTTTGAATTTCATATCTTGCTCATTTTTCAACCATTTCAGAAATTGTAAACACCAAACTTGTTAGAAATTTCACCACGATTTCAAATATGTAACTAACTTAAACAATGAATCAAAGATAAGCATGAATTTCATCTATTACCCAATCTGACCTAGTTTTTTCCAGAAAGTTCAGACTTAAAATTCTCCATACTCAGGCAATATAAATGAATTCTAAGGACATGGTTAGTTTCAGGGTTATGATGTCTACATTTTATCTTTTAAAATGAAAGCCAAATAATGCTTGTATGAAGAGATAGAAGTTTAGAAAACTCACCTTGCAGATGGAGATCGTGTTTTGAGTTTGAGCACACTTCAAGGTGTTGTAATGATCTGGTTAGCTTCATTGAACCTCCAGGAAGCTATTGCAATGCTTACTTTGGATTGAGAGTGCTTGGATCGTGTTGGAGAAGTCAATGTGAAAGGTGCTGTTTTTGAAAATGGAGAATGGTGAAGGTGTTACAGTTAGGTTGTAGGTGTTTGGATTGCTTCTATATGTGTTATAGAAGCTTGGTGATTGATAAAAATGGAAAACACATGAGTGGTTTTGTTGAGATGGATGTCAAAAATTAGAAATGACATAAAAGTGAGGCTTGAAGGCAATTATGAGTTTGAGGGAGTTTGAGGGAGTTTTCAGGCTTGTAAAATCGTGTCCTGGGCTTTTAAATGAAGGCTTAATTTATAGGAAAAGGTTTGGAAGCTTGGAGTGATCAGAATCACAAGATCACATGTTATAGATTTTTTACTTCTTTTTGAAGCAAGCTTAACAAACATAGTTTCAAGGCAAGGTACAAGGCTTGTAGGATGGATATAAGCTTTAAACATGTTTGTTCTGAATTTGTAGATGAAGCTTGTGCAAAAGGAACAAGTGCAAAGCTCAAGACAAGTTGACTTTGTGATTAAAGCAACTTTTCAAGAATGACAATGGTGCCTTTGTGCCATAAATGGAAATGTACCTTGGACAATGGCTCAAATGCTTGAACACTAGCTCAATGTATTGTGTAAACATCTTGTCATGGATATATTTTCAAGTTAGAAGGCCTATAAAGTGAGATTATGCAGCATAGGCTAGGGTTTTGGTTATGTGTTCATCACCAAAATGACTTGTAATTCAAGAATGGATGCCCAACTTCTTCTCTTCGATTCTCTTAGCTCAAAAATGATCTCTTCAAGTTCTTTGACATTTTGGAAAGATTGAAACATTTTCTACAACTTTCATGTTTTACACTTTGGCTAAATCAAATTGGAACTATGTGAAAATTGGCCAAGAAGTTGGGACAAAAACCTGCCTAAACTAGGTCAAAATTTCACTAAGTGTTTTAGAAAAAGATCATGACTTTATGAATTTATAACTCAAAATAAAAGCATTTCTAAGACTTGATCAGCAAAGAAAATTTGTATATCTCATTAAGATATACAACTTTCATGTTGAAAGTTTTCTTTGAATAATCTTGCATCTTGGTGAAAAAATGTCATGAAGTAGTGAAATTATCATGTTTGAAAACACTTAGAAATTTTCTAAGTCTTGAAAACTTTGACTTTTTAAATGACTTTTTGACTTTCTTGATTCTTGATGATCAAGCTTCATATTTTTGAATGTATTGATGAATTTTGATCCTTGAAACTCAATATTGATGAAAAAGTCAAAGTTTGACTTTTGGTGTATCAGATGACTTTTTCAACAGTTGGCCAAATTTCAACTATCAATTGTTT